GGCCCGCGCGCCACGGGCGCCGCGCGCCGTGCCGGAGCCAGTCGCGGCGCGGACGCGCCGCCAGCTGCGCGCGCGCGCCGAGGCGGCGCAGCCCGTCGCCGCGCGGACGCGGTCCAAGGGCGGCGGGGCCGGCGCCAGCGCCGCGGCGTGAAGGAGCTAGGAGGAGCTGGAGGACTACGGGCTACGACTCAAGGCTGAAAGGTGGGAGAGCCGCCCTGCGACCCCTGCCAGGGTCCAGGGGGGGCCAGCACTTGTTGGGCCGGCCGGCCACCCACCCACAGGTGAGTGCCGACTCTGGTGGCCGGCCGGCCCCCAAAAAGGTTACTCACCCGCCACTGCCGCGCAAAGCGTTCCACCCTTGCAGCTGCCGCAGGTCCAACCACCGCAGTTCAAAGCTGCGGTTTTGGGGGGGGGGGTGGCATAGTCTGTTCTCACTCCACGCATTGCACTTGCAACTGTGCACCCAAGACACAGCACTCATGCCCTCGCGCCCTTGCACTGAGGAGAGTGCTGCCCACCCAGCACCAAACGCCGTGCACCTTGGCCCTCTGCAGCACCCCTCTTCGCATGATAATATGTTGTGGTTGTTAGGAACTTATCTTTGTAACATCATGAGCAGCCACGGCAAACCCACAAGCAGGCCAGCGACGTGGCACGTCAACTGCAACTCAGGCCCCACCAGTCTGAAAGGCGCGTCTGTTGCGTCAGTTACAGGCCACGCATGCTCTCAGCGCAGCAAATCGTTCGCTGAATAAAGGTTGGGGCGCCTTCAGTCATGCGCCCAGGTCGAAAGCCTCACTAGCTCTCACTCGGACCAGGCACGCGCCCGCTCCGCCGACGCACTGGCAAACAAGCTCATGCCCAAAGCCAGACACAGCTCAATCGAGACGGATCGCGCCAAAGCCCAAACTCGCTTATACGGCCACAGGGCCTCATGCCGCGGCGCCGACGAGGCCGCTGTGGCGCAGCAGCGGCTCTGTGCTGGGGGCGCGGCCGCGGAAGAGCTCGAAGACCTTCTCGGGGGCCACGCTGCCGCCCAGGGCCAGCACGGTGTCGCGGAAGCGGCGGCCGGTGGCCTCCACCTAGATTGTGTGTATGTGTGTGTGTGTGAGTGTGAGTGTGTGAGTGTGTGTGTGATAGAATTTCTATGAAAGCCTAAGTTTCAAAAAGTGGGGAAGGCGAGGTCGCCCGGAGCCCAGCCGTTTGCAGGGGCATCGGGCTCATTCCTGCCACCAGATCAGCCGGTCCTCCCCCCCTGACCGCACCCTCGGAACGCCGTCCGCCAAAACCACCCTCTGCGGCGGACAGCCACTCCGCCCCCCCCCTGCACAAGCACCACCGCGCAGCCACTGCGCAGCCACTGCGCAGCCACCGCGCAGCCTCCGAATATATGCACACTGCCCTGTGTTTCTGGGCCCCCCAACCCTCGGTTTACCCAACGCCCACCCCCCCCGGCCCCCCCACCTTTGCGTCGTCCTCGAGGCCGACCTCCTCAAACGCAGCGAACGCGTCAGCAGACAGCACCTCAGCCCTGGAGGGGGGGAGAGAAGAGAGAGAGAGAGAGAGAGAGAGAGAGAGAGAGAGAGAGAGAGAGTGTGTGTGTGTGTGTTGTATGAAATTATGTACGTGGGTATGTGGATATGTGTGTGTGTGTGTTTGTGTGTGTGTGTGTGGGGGGGGGGTGAGAGAGAGCAAATGTGAGCGAGTGTTAGGAGGCGTGAGGGAACGCGAGCGAGGACGAGCGAGTGTGCAGGCGTGTGTCTGCGCGTGTGCCGATGGAGGTGGGCACCAGTTGCGAGCCCAGTGGGCAGCGAGGGGGGCAGGTGGGAGGGCGGCCTCGGGCCGGCGCACGCCTGCGGGAGAATCCCGCTGCCCGCCAGCCTGCCGGCGCCTCGACACCGACAGGCCCATGGTTCTTCCCC